TCACAAAAGGTCTCTACTACTACTTCTGGATTGATCGAAGATTTTTTTAAAAATCCTTTGAATTGATAGTTGCCGATGATGTTGGCAATTCTACTAACTGTATGCCTTACTTTGATGGCACAGTTGTAATTTTTTTTAATATTAATATTGACGATAATATCTAACTTTTTGCTTCAACAATTTTTTTTTGTCTCGTAGAAAACAGAGTTGTCATCAGATGTCAAACGTACTGCTGATGCAACTATTAATAAAGCTCGTGATACAGTTATAATTGATACATATAATATAAAATTAGGTGCTGATAATGCTGCTAATCAAGCCAAAAAGTCTTATGTATGTTAGCATTATTTTTTTTCTCGTTTTTCTTTATTTCAGTAAACAAGAATGAAATGAATTATTGTTAATTCTTTGTAATTATTTTTCATATTGTTCTATCACTTCTTCACAGATATAATCAAGCAATCATTAGAAATAATTGAATAGATCATCTTAACAGTTTTGATTGTCCTTACATCTCTTTTTTTATTTTTCTTCTCTTATGTATGTTGTCTTTTCTTGTTATTGTATGTAACTGAAAATGATTGCCAATCTATTTTTTAGCTACTTGATTTTTGGAGTTGATTCTTCGGAATTATTCAATTGAAAATGTGTGTTTAATAATGTAAACTAAAACGTTGAATGGAAAGACTTTCAAAGAATTTTATGGATTTTCATAGGTTTTATTGATAAAATGAAATATTTTCAAAACTGTCATAATTTATGTTTTTATAGCCTAATGAAATGAATTTTCTTTCTAGAAAATGTCAGGAAATGCGTAGTAAAAAAATGAATACGATCGCAGACTTTTAATCTTCTTGACTATTAATATTAATATTTCTTCTTAATCTAAGCTCATTTACATGATCGACAGCATGCAAAGTCCTTCATATAGAATGGAATACCATACTTGTCTTATTTTTCTTCTAGAGATAAACTGTCATGCATTTTTATTAATACGAACAATATACCTTTAAAATATGGTATTAATGAAAACCATCTTAAAATGAAAATGAGATTGTTTGATATAATTATACTGAATGATGTATTGAGACACGCAGAAAAATCTTGAAATTTAATGAATGCTTACATATTCGTAATGAACAATTCTAATTGCTGTTCTTTTCAAATTTGTGTCGTTATTTACGTGACTGACTGTAAATCATTATTTTAAAATAAATCTACACCTGTGTACACTTAATTCAATGTAATTAAGATATTGTTTTTTCTACTCGATGAATTCTCTCATCGAGGTTTATTTATAAAAAGAAGTATCGTAAGGACTATTCAAAACATTTCCCTTGAGAAATCTCGATGCAACAATTTATTCTCAATACTTTTATCTGCTTTATAGTCGTTGATTGATTTTGATTGAGAAGTTTGATTACATAAAGATTTTCTTTGACACATCACTACAAAAGGCACACTAATTATATTTAATTCCATTATCATTCAGCAGGTAGCATAAATTACTTTTTGTAGTATACCAATGAGTATATCAAAGGTTTCATCAAAAAAAAAAGCTTCTAGACTCTATAAGGTTGAATTAATCTCGTTAATTTCCTTTTCTTTTTATGTCAATGTGTCGAAAAAAACACTATTTTAAGATAACAAGAATGCAAGTAAATGAAGCCATATACAGGAAAGTAAAACGTCAATAATTCCTCAGTAATTCAAGTGATTTAAGTTTTTTTCACCTATATTTTGATTCCATGTTCATTAAAGTTTTATTCATCATATTTCAGATAAATAAATTACTGTGCCTATAAACATGAAAAATACAAAGGTGTTCTATTAATGACTGAATTCAAGTCAACTAAGATTGTAAAAACGAAAGCTTTTATTCAAATTCGAGAAAGAAATTCTAAATAAAGATTTGCTTAAGGAATTCTCTTAATTCTTTGACAGTGTAGCAGACTGTCATAATGTGAATGGCTTATAATAATGCGATGAGAAAGCATTACTGAAGTTCATGTTGACAGGAGAAATTAATTAACATCAAGTTTTTGAAATTTTTGCAAAGTTTGTTATATTGTAAATGAAATTATGATAGAGCTCAGTAAATAGTTCGAAAAAATGAAGCTTATTCAGATTTTGATCATAAATTAGATCGATTTCTGAGCAACATTTTCCCTTACTGTGAAAAATTCAAAGACTTGATTAGATTTGATGAGTTCAATGTTTATGCCACTTAGAGTTGTTTGAGTTTTTGTAACAAAGGGTAGTATGAGGACGGTGTCTATTAAAGATCATGCTGAAATAACAATAAGAATCGATGACATAATACAGTTATTTTGCATAAGTTGTTTCTATACAATATCTCTTTTCATACATATCAAAACATTGTTCTTTTGTGTTTCAATTCAGTATGCTCGTTTTCAATAGTAAGATTAAATAAAGTTATATGAAAAAAAAACTTGAAAACAAAGCCCTATCACTTGAATTGTTTCAAAAGTTATTCACATTCTTCTTTTTGACTTATTTATTTTAAGACATTCTGTGTTTTATCACAGAAAAAAATAACTAGTTAATAACGTTGAGCAAATAATAAAACTGTTTAAATTTACTTAACAATAATGACCTTAGAGACACGTTCAATTTATTAATTACTGTCATTTTTGTTCTATCTTATTCCTTTTCTTGGACTGTAATTTGATTAGTTTGCTAGTTATTCGAGAGAAAATCATCCATCATTATAGATTGTTGTCAATTATTGTTGACAAATATTTCATATTCATTTTAAGATCAATAATCAGAGAAATATAATTAACATTTATTATATATTTCCTAGCATTTTTTCTTGGACACTTATAAACTAAATAAATAGTTCAAAATCTATATAGTTGATGTTTTCTTTACAGATGACTAGGAAATCAAAAATAAACACAAGGACAAAATTTCATTTGTAGATTTTATTATGATCGATAGATAAGCTTCAATATTTCTAAAAAAAAATAATTTTTATGCGTGATCATATATGCTTTATTTGAATAACATGAATTAATCTTACAAGAAATTATATTATCAAGCATGATCCAAGTACATTATTTATAGACATGCTTCATTCAATAATTTCATTCGATCGTTTTTGTTTCCTATATAAACATAATCCAAATAAATCCTAAAGAAAGTTATATAGTATTTAAGTTATTTTTAACTTTCTTCATAATATTGGTTTATTCTAATCTTATCATTCATGAAATTTATGATCAAAAAATATGTCTTTGTTTGAAGACATTCATTTGACAGAATATTAAATGATTGCATTAGACATAACGTTTTTATTGAATATATATATCAATCATTATTCTCATATATAGAAGAATAATAAAAATAGAAAAATATATGTTTGAAGGATTTGTTGTTGATTTTTTTCCATATCAAATAGATTTTAATAAACTAATATTATATCAGTCTTCTAATAAACTTGATTCTTTTTTTTATGCATTATTTTTAAAGACTTGTTGACCCCTTATTTTAGATTATGTTCTTTTTTTACCAAACTTAATCTCAATAATAAATTAATCTGAAAATGAATTCTACCAAATGAGAGAATATTGTAGTCAAACGTTTTCATTGAGCATATTGATCGTATTTTTTTTGAGTGTCACGTTAACTTTTTCTAGAAGCATTTAGTAACAATTTAACCACTTTGAATAATAATAATAACAGCTGAATAGAAAGATAATGTATACAATAGAAAATAATCTAAGAAGATTTTCAATTTATAAGTGTATATTTATTTTCAGTAAAAAATATGCACATCATTGGACTAAGTTTTTTTCGCTAATTATTTTATTAAAGATTTTGTTTTTCTTTGTTAGCCAAGTAAGCATACTCTTGACATCGTTTGCGTATATGCCTTAAGAATTTCTGGCAAGCTATGTAATTACTTCCTTATCTCAAGGAAGTCCGCAACACAGAGTTATGATTAGTTATTTATTCTACATAAAAAATCTACACATCTGTTTTTGAAAAAAAGTACAGAATTTAAGTTTCAATATTTATTTCTGTTATAAATTTATCAAATGATATTCAAAGTTTAATCATAATTAAAAATAGAATTTTTTTTTGTTTATTCTGATAAATTTTAATGTTGAAATCTATATATATATATGTTGATCATTAATATTTATAAAATCATCTTGTTCGTGATCTATCTATTTGATCTTGCTAAACGATAATGATGAAATATAAGACGTTGAGATCGTTTTTCTTCTTTAGGTTGCTTTGATTTTTTTAAACATAAACATGTTCGTAATAAATAACGGAATAATAATGTAATATTTCGACGGAAACGGTAATTTGTAAATATATAAGCATAAAAATTAACTGAATGACTTATATAACGTAGAATAAATGTTATCTCAGACCAATAGGACAATGTTTCATTTGTACCATCAAATTGTATTAAAAGAAGATAAATAATACAATATGGTAAATAACATAATGTATATGTTATTGATATAACAAGTAATGTTGAACTTGTCGAACGATAACTTGTTCCTGTATTATTGTCGGAACGTCGGCGACCTTGTTCGGCATTTTGTGTTTTATATATATGTTTTATATAACATACAATAACACTATTCACTATTAATGTTAACATTGATGGTAAAACAAGATTGAGAAAACCAGCAACAAGTGCATTAAGTAATAATGTCAATGAATTATGTTCATATTCCTCACGTATATGACAACTTGTTGATTTATTTTCATTACTATTATTAGATATATTTTCATTTGAATCAATTTTTTTTTCTTGATCAAAACCTAATGTAACAATTAAATAACTATTTGCTGTAAAGAAAATAATTGTAAGACAAGTAACAAGAATGATATTTGATCGTATAGTATTTAATTGTCGAAATATATGTAAAAAACGTATTAATGTAAAACATGTTATTAACCATGAACAAAGTGCAGCAAATAAACGATTGATCATATAAAAAAAGAAACATGAAAATGCTGATATATGCATTAGAGAAAAATATGCACTTTTGTGTATAGAATAAAGGTAATCAATTAATGTTTCAATAACCCAATAAAGTAATAAGCAAGTGTCTAATTAATAGAAAAAAAAACACAGAATTTTTTATTTTAATTATTTTTTTGAAAACATTTTTGTGATTAATATTTATAAAAAATAGTCAAAAAATTTTGTTTCGATCAGATAATAAAATTCGATCGATTGATGTGTAATTTTCTGTTTTATAGTGGAAAAAATGTAAATTTAATTTCAACTTAATGCCATAGATCTATATATATATTAATGTTCTTGAGACTTCTTAATTATAAATTTCAATGAGGGAGAGTGATAGCTTTTTCCGGTTCTATATTATTGTTGTCACTGTCGAACAAAAATACTATTCTTTTTTATTTTTTGTTTTTAGAAATTACCGATGACGATACTATTAATAATGGATTCATATATATTCAATAAAATGAATAACTTAAATATTTGTTAACTATCATATTATTATGTATATTTCCCGTTCAGTCATTTCCTTTCTCGGGCATGTCTGCTTCAATTTAATGAAATCAATTTTCTATATTTAAGCGTACCAGAAAATATATGTTGACAAAATAAGATATGACATTAGACTATTACCGTCTTTTTTTTTTTCAAGAAAAAAAATTAATCCATGTTGTCGGATTATTAGCTTTGTTAATGAAATTCTTTTTAAATTACCTGATGACTTCTGTGATGAGGAAAAAAAAAAGAAATTTTGTACACATAATTTGTTTTTTTTAAATATTTTCATAGATGGTAATAAATCAAATAAAACTTAACAGCTAAATTTAGAAATTTATTAGAACATCATGATGTACGTCATTAAAATAATTTTTGTAATAAAAATCCTTGAACTAATTCAACTATGAAGATATGCCTTGCAAGAAAACATAAAAATAGAAATTAAGGACAATTATTGTAATAAATTTTACAGATTACTATATTTATGTAATCGACCATTAATAGATTTTGAAAGAGTCAATTTTCATTGTGAAAGGGTCACTAAATCCATTAGATCTATTGAGAGCTTAATGTACGACGCTATGAAGTGTAAAAAAACAAGAAAAAAGAAAACAGCAAATTATTACTTTTGTCTAAAACCTAGTTTTTATGATTTATTTAATTTCATTAGATATAAAACTACTTACCCAGAATCGATATTTCAGCAAGGTAGAGATCAAATACTTTTCGTTCAGTATGAATTGTTCGTTGACATAAAGATTTTATACAAACAATTATTGTTAAAATGTTTCCTGGCAATCCAAATATACTACATATAATCGCCATTATTCGACGAAATATATATAGAAATTCTTCAGGCATCATTTTATTTGTATTTTGTTATTTATGTTCATCAATAGGACAAAAATATAATTGAAAAAAAAATCTGAAATCAAATAATTCTAGTTCATGTACATGTAATTACAAATAATATTGGAATAGAAATCTTTATTTTATCACAATAATCAAATTATATTTAGTTAATGTCTTTAATTTTCAGAACTACTAAAATATATAATAAAACAGTAGATTATATATTAAAGTTAACAAAGTTGCAAGTAAATCTTATCGTATGGAAAACATTATTAATATATTAAAAATAGAAATTCTATCATCGGATTAATAATAATATGCTTATAAATAAAAAATTAACAAAATGGAGACTGATTTTAATTATTTATCTATGTTTTTTTTTCATAAAAAATAAACTTTTGATAAATTAGTATATATTTCATTAGTCTAGTTTATAACTTAATGATTAGAATGTTTATAATATACAAGTAGAAAATATGTTCGGACGTATGAAGACGTGTTAGACAAGCTTCTAAAATAGTATTACATTTACCAAAAATATAATAACGTCCTTTGAGGCCATACTTAAATACAATTATCATAATGTTAATAGGATGTATGTCGACAACTCAATAATTATTGTAAGTAAAAACGGACATTATAAGACTAAGCGGAAGAAAAATAGACTATTTTTAAGCAGCTCTATCGTTTTTCGAGTGCATGATTTCTTTATCAATTTCTCTTAGTATCTATTTTTGCACCCACTGATCAACGACATTAGAAAAACATCATAACTCATGTTTAATTATCAGTAAACAATTATATGGTTAACAGAAAAGTTGTATATATATATATATTCACCTGCTCAAAATAAAGTACACACCTTATTTTTTCGATTATTTCTTTACAGTATGGTGATTCCGCCCAATTTTTATATCACAGATACATGCTTGACTACTCAACTTATTCTGAAAGTTTCAGCCCTATATGATGAGAATTGGTGGAGAGAACTTCTAATATATTTCCAGCACTCATTTGCTACTGAAACCAAATTTTAATATTTTATTGATTTCTCAGTTGTTTTATATTGCATTTGAGATTTC